GTGTTAGTCCTGCCCTTAATTGAATCCTGTTGCATTGACAGGGATGAGCTGGCAAGATGGATACAGAACTGGTTTAGTCATAGGAAACAGAGGGTAGCGTTGGAAGGAATGGAATACTTTTTGGAATGGAGGTCTGTGACTAGTGGTGCTCCAAAGGGATCCGTGCTGGGATATCTGCTGTTCATGATCTACATAAATGATTTGGTGGAAAACACTGCTGGTCTAATTAGTAAATTAGCGGATGATACAAAGATTGGTGGAGTTGCAGGTAGTGAGGAGGATTGTGAGAGGAGACAGCAGGATATAGAGATCAGATGGAGGCATGGGCAGAAAAATGGCAGATGGAGTTTAATCTGGACAAATGTGAGCTGATGCATTTTGTAAGGTCAAGTACAGGTGGAAATTATACAGTGAATGGCAGAACCCTTAGGAGTATTAACATGCAGAGGGATCTGGATGTACAGGTCCACAGATTACTGAAGGTGGCAGCGCAGGTAGATAAGGTAGTAAAAAAGGCCAATGGCATGCTTACTTTCATTGGAAGGGACATTGAGTGTAAGGACAGACAAGTTATGCTGCAGCTTTATAGAACTTTAGTTAGGCCACACTTGGAATATTGTGTACAGTTCTGGTCACCACACTACCAGAAGGATGTAGATATTTTGGAGAGGGTACAGAAAAGGTTTACCAGGATGTTGCATGGTATGTGGGATTTTAGCTATGAAGAAAGGTTGGATAGACTGGGTTTGTTTCACTGGAATGCAGGAATTTGAGGGGCAACTTAGTAGAAATTTATAAGATTGTGAATGGCATGGATAGAGTGGAAAGTATGAGACTTTTTTACCAGGGTGGAGGGGTCAATTACTAGGGGACACAGGTTCAGTGTGCGGGCAGGGCAAGTTTAAAAGAGATGTGGGAGGCAGGTTTCTCACGCAAAGGGTGGTGAGTGCCTGGAATGTGCTGCCAAAGGAGGAGGTGGAAGCAGACACAATAGCAGAATTCAAGAAGCACCTGAATGAATACATGAACAGGAAGGGAATAGAGGGATACAGATCCTGTAAGTGAAGACAGTTTTAGTATGGAAGGGCAAAATGTGTCGGTGCAGGCTTGGAGGGCCAAAGGGCCTGTTCCTGTGCTGTATTGTTCTTTTGTTCTTTGTATTTCTTATGTTTAAAGTGAAATGGTGCACGGGCATTAGATGAAGACAGGATTGCACTCAGCTCCGATGCCCATTTCTCTTCAAGACTCTAGTGATTTTGACTAAATTCTGAAGTTTGGACATCCTTTTCACGGAACCACCCTCGTCAACAGGTCGGGGATTTTTTTCTGAATGGTACCACGCACTTGCAAGCACCTTTTCTTCCCATGCTGATTTTCTGCAGTACCTCTTGCCTTTCCCCTGAGGTTTTCCCCTCCCTGACCCAAGGACACTGAAGCTAATTGAGAATAATTTATCAGCATCCTGACTGACAGGATGGGAAAACCACGTACAGCGCAGGGAGTCTACTTCTGTTTTCCCAGGACTGCAGTGCGCATTTTCCTAGCCCCTCAAACTGTTGGTGGAGTTCCTTTAAGTGATTGTTGAGAGTGTTTAGCATTGCAGATGTCTTTGAATTTGGGAGATCTTCAGTGTGCATCATTGTTTCTGAAAATTGATTTATGAAGCTAGATCAAAAAGGCTTTCCAATTGAATACTCAGCCATTGTCACTTATTGATTCTGATTTGTTCAGCAAAATGCTCATCTGGCACCAGCTAGGAACAAGTGTTGAGTTGATGATGGGCAGAACAGATGCATCATGCACCCTTTGCAGTCTGTATTGAAGAAGGACGCGAAATGTTAACTCTGTTCCTCTCACTCCACAGATCTGCCAGATCTGCTGAGTTTCTCCAGCAATTTGAGTTTTGTACAGTCGTAGAGTCATAGAGATGTACAGCACAGAAACAGACCTTTCGGTCTAACACGCCCGTACTGACCAGGTATTCTACATTAATCTAGTCCCATTTGCCAGCATTCGGCCCATATCCTCCAAACCTTTCCTATTCATATACCCATCCAGATGCCTTCTAAATGTTGTAATTGTAACAGCTCCTCTGGCAACTCGTTCTTCTGAGTGAAAGAGCTGCCCCTTAGGTCCCTTTTAAATCTTTCCCCTCTCACCTAACTGAATGGGCCTCTAGCTTTGGACTCCCCTACCCTGAGAAAAGACCAAGACTATTCACCCTATCCATGTCCCTCATGATTTTATAAACCTCTATAAGTCCACCCCTCAGCCTGCAACGCTCCAGGGAAAATAGCCCCTGCCTATTCAGACTATTATAGATCAAACCTTCCAACCTTGTAAATCTTTTCTGAACTACTTCAACATCCTTCCTATAGCAGAGAGACCAGAATTGCACACCGTATTCCAAAGGTGGCTTAATCAATGTCCCATACAGCCATAACATGACCTCCCAACTCCTATACTCAATGCACTGATTAATAAAAGGCAAGTGTACCAAAAGCATTCTTCACTATCCTGTCTACTTGTGACTCTACTTTCAAGGACCTCTAAACCTGCACCTTTGTTTGACAACACACCCCAGCACCTTACCATTAAGTGTACAAGTCCTGCCACAATTTGCCTCACCAAAATGTAGAACCTCACACTTACCTAAATTAAACTCCATCGGTCATTCCTTGGCCCATCTGTCCATTTGATGAAGGTCCCATTGTACTCTGAGGTAACTTTCTTCGCTGTCCTGTATACCATCAATTTTGGTGACATCTGCAAACTATATTCACATGAAAATAATTTATGTAAATGAGAAAAAGCAGTGGACCCAGCACTGATCCCTGTGGCACACTGCTGGTCATAGGCCTCCAGTCTGAAAAGCAACCCTCCACCACCTCGTCTGTCTCTTACCTTGAGGTTGTAGACTTGCTCGCCGAGCCAGTGGGTTTGGTTGCAGGCATTTCATCACCGTGCTTGATAACACCGTCAGTGCGCCTCCAGTGAAACGTTGGTGTTCTGTCCTGCTTGTTATTTCTATGCCTCGGTTTGCTGGGGCGGTTGTATTACTTCCGGTTCTGTTTCTCAGTGGTTTGTACACAGGGTCTAATTCAATGTGTTTGTTGATGGAGTTCTGGTTGGAATACCAGGCCTCCAGGAATTCCCTGGCATGTCTCTGTTTGGTTTGTGCGATTGTGGATGTGTTGTCCCAGTTGAATTTGTGTCCCTCATTGTCGGTGTGTATTGAGACCAGTGAGAATTGGTTGTGCCCCTTGGTGGCTAGTTGGTGTTCATGTATCCTTATTGTCAGTTTTCTTCCAGTTTGACCTGTGTAATGTTTCTCACAGTCTTTACACGGTATTTTGTATATTACCCTAGTTTTGTTGGTTTTGGGTATGGGATAGTTTGCGTTTGTCAGTAGCTGTCACAGGGTGGTTGTTGGTTTATGGGATACCCTGATACCTAGGGGTCTGAGTAGCCTTGCGGTCATCTCTGAAATGTCCTTGATGTACAGCAGGGTGATTAATGAGTCTGGTCATGTTGTGTCTTCCTGTTATGGTCTGTCTCAGAGGTAACAGCTGATTGTGTTCTTTGGGTATCCATTTCTTTAGAAGACTCTGTATGGGTGCTCCAGTTCTGCTTTGCGTAGTTCCGGGTTGCTGCAATGTGTTGTGGCTCATTTAAATAATGTTCTGAAGTAGCTCCCTTCCGTATGTGTGGTCTTTCTATATACACTAGTCTGGACTTCCCCGCTATTTTTGCGTTATAGCATTATGCCCAGGAAGGGTAGTTGGCTGTTATTCTCTTCTTCTTTCATGAATTTTATCCCTGTAAGGATGTTGTTTATGTGCCAGTGGGTTTCTTCCAGTTTTGTGTGTTTAATAATCACAAAGGTGTCATCTACAAATCGGACCCAAAGTTTGGGTTGTATAGTGGGGAGCACTGTCCTTTCTAACCTTTGCATTACTGCTTCTGCAATCAGCCCTGATATGGGGGGGATCCCATTGGTGTTCCACTGAATTGTTTTTATATACTTTCGTTGAAGGTGAAGTGGGTTGTGAGGCACAGACCCAGTGATTTCATGGTGGAGTCCTTATTGATGTTGGTGTCTTGGGTTGTCTGCCTACTTGATTCGTCCAGTAGTGTGGAAATTGTCCCTTTGGCTTGGTCAATGTTTATGGATGTAAATAGTGCTGTTATGTCAAAGGATATCATTGTCTCGTCCTCTTCTATCCTGGTGTCCTTGATGATGTTGAGGAATTCTTGGGATGAGTGGGTGGAGAGGGTGGTGTTGTCCACTAGGTATTTCAATTTCTGTTATAGTTCTTTGGAAAGTATATATGTTGGTGTACCTGGCAGTGAGACATTGGGTCTGAGGAGGATACCCAGTTTGTGTACCTTGGGGAGTCCATAGAAGCGGGGTGTGTTGGATCCCTCTGGCTTCATTTTTTGGCTGTCTGTCTTGCTGATGTTTCCTGAGTTGTGTAATTTCTTCAGGGTGTGTCTGTGTCTGTGTGTACAGGTGCAAGGGTGTGGGAGTCCATGTGTGTGTGTGTGTATGTGTGTGTGTGTGTGTGTGGGGTGTGCCTGTTGTGGGGTGGTGGGGAAAGGATCTTCATTGCACTCTTCCGTTTGCCTCGTTGTGCATGCTTTGGTTTCATGTAAAATAAAGCAAAGAACAGCAGATGCTGGAGATCTGAAACGAGAGCAGAAAGTGCTAGAGAAACTCAGCAGGTCTGTGGAGAGAAAGCAGAGTTACCGTTTTGAGTCCATTAACCCTTCTTCAGAACTGATAGAAGCTTGGAAACGGTAGTATATGTATGTTAAAGCCGGGGAGGGTGGTGGTGCGGGGCAGAAAGGATTGAGCAGGTAGGTGGAGATGGCACCCAGAGAGAGAGAGAGAGAGAATGACGGTTCAGCAGAGAATATGATGGATTTTGTTGGATGGTGAGGATGATGGATGCATTGCTTTCATGTAATTATCAGCTGATGTTGCTTCTCTGCTTCAGCACCAGCGACAGGAGGAAGAATCTGGTCCAGCAGAAAGCCGAGGCTCAAAGAAGACTGTATGGGCAAGGGTCAGTAAAGCGACTGTCTGCTGGCTCCTCGGAGTGGGAGAAACAACGCCACTCACTGGAGAGGAGGCGAGAGGAGCTGGTAAGCAGCCACTTGCTGTCCTGTTGGAAATCCTGTTGTCTATCTTGTTACCCCTTTGCATATTCAAGACTCATTTCTTTCTCCCACTCTGCACGCAGAAGGAGAGGCTTGCACAAGTCCGCAAGCAGATTTCAAGAGAAGAGCATGAAAATCAAAATTTGGGGAACTACAGGTAAATAATAAAAAAAAAACAAGACCCTACATTATGGGTAAAACAGGTTACAGCAAGGGATCACGCTCTATTGATGTGATTTGGTTTTCAGTTATCTCCCTCCAGCAGTAAAGAAGCTTGCAGGCACCAAGAAGAGTGGGAAGAGTGCCCCATTAGGAGGTTGGTTAACTCAGTTGGCTGGGCAACTGGTTTGTAATATAAAGTTCATTTGTAATATAAAGCATGGGTTCATTTCCCACACCAGCTGAAATCCCCATGAAGGTCCTTCCTTCCCAACCTCACCCATCAGCTGAGGTAGCCCTCATGTTAAACTCAGGTCCGTCTAATGAGAGTGGGGGCTACAGTGACATAGCCTGACCTTACCTTCTGCAAAACCTAATTTCCATCCTGTTTAACTATGTCCAAAATCAGGAGGACGTGTTAGAAGAAGAGGAAAATATCAACATTTACAGGGACTCCACAAAGTCATCTTGGAGTCTCCCCAGGTCAAATGATTCAAATCATTGGCAAAATGGTTGGGGTCATGGGACACAGTAGGGTGAGTGGGGCTAATTGGATTGCTCTATCAAAGAGCTAGTAGAAGCATAATAGGCTGAATGGCCTTCTTTTGTGTTGTCAGAATTTGTAATTTTGTTTTGCTAAGAATAAGAGATCCATGTTTTCTCCTGTGTGAACCCAGGCGGATCTACCCTCCCGATGACAAGCAGTTGCTGGAAAAGTATGAGACCCTCATATGTGTTGCCTTCCAGACCTTCCTTGCAGGAAGAGCAGCCTCACTCCAGAAGGAACTCAGCAACCCACTGAATCACATGAAGGTATTGACTGTGAGATCCATCACATTAGGACACGAAAAGAGAATGTTGAGGGGTGAACTGCAAATTATAAGGGACTTCAATCAGATAGCTGTGGAAATTTGGGTGAATCCAAACTCAGAACCATAACTGTACGATAGTCACTAATAAACCCAAATAAGAAATTCGAGAGAAGCTTCCAGAAAATTCTTTACTGAATTTCCTATTTAGTTTATTTCTGGCTACCTTGTTATTGAGGGGCTAGGCCTGGTCTCCCCCATAAGTGGAAACGTCTTCTCTACGTTTACCGTGTCAAACTTTGCAATAATCCTGAAGATTGCTTTCAGTTTGCCCTTTGGTTCTCTCCTTTCTCATGTCTGTTCAATCTTTTCATATTAGCTGGGTCCTCTTTGATCTGGTATCAAGCTTGTGAATAGTGTTTGCACCTTCTTCAGTGCTTTAATGTCTTTCTCAGTAACATACAGGCCAGAACTCTTTAACATTCTCCAAGTGCGGTTTGTCAAGATTTTCTTCTTTTCATTCTTCTCTATCAAGGGTTACAGGGGATAGGGCAGGAAAGTGGAAGTGAGGAATGTTGGATCAGCCAGGATCCTACTGAATGGCAGAGCAGGCTTGAGTGGCCAAACAGCCTATTCCTCTTTCTATTTCTTATGGTCTTATGGGTTTTAATTCAATTGCTTTGGTAGTGGGAGAAGAGGAGGGCTATGCATTTGAGGCAACCACTGCACAAACACTCTAACCTCAACTGCTATGTGCCTGGGATATCAAAGCCCTTGGCTTAGTCTTGCAATTTCTTTTGTGATTAGTGCTTGGGATGTGGGTGTCCGCTGGCTGGGTCAGCATTTAAAACTCACCCCTAGTTGCCCTTGAGAAAGTGGTGATGAGCTGCCTTCTTGAACCGCTGCAGTCCATGTAGTGTTGGCAGACCTACATTGCCATTAGGGAGGGAATTCCAGGATTTTGACCCAACGACAGTGAAGGAGCGGTGATATATTTCCAAGTCAGAGTGCTTTGGAGGGGAATTTGCCAGTGGTGGTGTTCCCATGTATCTGCTGCCTTTGTCCTTCCAGGAGGTAGAAGGTTTGGAAGGTGCTGTCAAAGGAGTCTTGGTGATCTCTGCACTGCATCTTGAAGATAGTACATATCGGATTCTAGGCTGACATTCAATGCATTGGACTGATCTTTTTTCCCAGTCCAGCAAGGCAAAGAATGATGAGGAGATCCCTTGACAGACAAAGAATGATGAGGAGATCCCTTGACAGACAAAGACACTGCTGGTGTAGTTGGATTTCCCTCTTACTGATGAATGTCACTGAGAGTATTGGCCTGTAGCCATCTTGCTTTCAGCCTTCGAGTCTGACAGATTGTCAGCACTGGGTCACCGAATAAAAGACACACACTTAGCTTGCAGAAAAGAACCTTTCACATTAAAAACAAACTCTGCCTTTGAATAGCTTTGTCACATTAATTTTTATTAGAGATGCAATCAAAAAATAAATACAAAGAGGTCTAATAGAGAGAAGAAGCCTGACAGATATTAGGGTATGTTTTATAAATCTGAAAGGTCCTTAATGTGTGCAAACACAATGAGTGCGGAAGGCAATTTGAGGGCTGCTTTCGACAATGATATTTTTTCAGCCCTGTGGTAAGTTAATTGAAAACTGTGACAAGAAAGATCTTATCTCCTTGGTAAGCGATGCATGTTATAGACAAGGTTCAAAGGCAAACAACAAATAATGGGGGTGAGCTATGTGGCAAGGTGATGGGATATTTTATATACAGTTTGAAGAGATATTTAAAGAGCCAGCTATGAATACATTGAAACAAAGCGTTCAATTGTATGCGGAATGCTACTTTGTGACAGGTTGTGTGAGATCTGATTTAATTTAGTTGTTCAGACTCAGGTCAGTGATGAGTACAGATAAAGTTGGGAGAGCAGATCTAAAAGTGATATCCAGTGAAGACTAGCTACTAAATAAAGTGATGTGGAGGTGCTGGTATTGGACTGGGATGGACAAAGTCAGAAATAACATGACACCAGATTATAGTCCAACAGGTTTATTTGAAAACACAAGCTTTTGGAGCACTGCCCCTTCATCTGGTGTCGTGTTACCTCTGACTTTTACAAAAGAAACCATACAGATATGAAGGTGTTTGCACAAGTTTCACAGATTTTACTTTTTCCACCATAAGTGTAAAATTATGATACTTGGTAAAAGCTGTGGTCAGTCATAGAGAGGTGTACAGCACAGAAAAAGGCCCTTTGGTCCATATAGTCCATGCCAGTGAAAAACAACCACCTATCTATTCTAATCCCATTTTCCAGCACTTGGCTGTGGTCAGGTTCCTGATGGAACTAGTCCTCAGCCTCTAGTTGACTGGACGCCTTGTCTCTTGATTGTAGTTTGTCCTCCTGCTGAGGATGTCAGCGCTCAGGACCCAGACTCGATTCCAACCTCTGGTGACTGTCTGTGTGGAGTTTGCACATTCTTCACCTGGCTGCGTGGGTTTCCTCCGGGTGCTCGGTTTCCTCCTACAATCCAAAGAGGTGTAGGTTAGGTGGATTGGCTATGGGAAATGCAGGGTTGCAGCAATAAGGTAGAGGGAATGAGTCTAGGTGGGATGCTGTTCGGAGGGAGTGTGAACTTGATGGCCTGAATGGCCTGCTTCCACACTGTAAGGATGATATGATTCAGTGATGTGTACTTATTGTCTTGCAGATCCTTATTTTATACAAGGCTCTGTTTCACATGCGATAAAACACATTTTCTGTCCATTGGTCAGTCAGTCATTAGCTTACTACCACTTCTCTCGGAGCCTGGTTTGGGTCATTGCTAATCAGGGGCTTCAGATTCTTGCTTCCTTGTTGTTTAACCATCAACAGAGATCATGTGAATGGTGGTGGACAGTTGGACAACACAGTGTAGGAGGAGGCTCCACAAATATCCCCATCCTCAATGATGGAAGAGCCCAGCACATCAGTGCAAAAGATAAGGCTGAAGCATTCGCAGCAATCTTCAGCCAGAAGTGCTCAGTGGATGATCCATCTCAGCCTCCTCCAGTGGTCCCCAGCATCACAGATACCAGTCTTCAGCCAATTCGCTTCACTCCACGTGATATCAAGAAATGGTTGGAGACACTGGATACTGCAAAGGCTACGGGCCCTGACAACATTCCGGCAATAGTACTGAAGACATGTGCTCCAGAACTTGCTGCTCCCCTAGCCAAGCTGTTACAGTACAGTTACAACACTGGTATCTTCCTGACAATGTAGAAAATTGCCCAGGATTGTCCTGTAAACAAAAAGCAGGACAAATCCAACCTGGCCAATTACTATCCCATCAGTCAGCACTTGATCATCAGAAAAGTGATGGAAAGGGGTCATCAATAGCACTAGCAAGCAGCACTTACCTTCTCACCGATGCTGTATTTGTTTCCATGAGGGTCACTTGATTCCTAAACTTGTAACAGCCTTGGTCCAAATGTAGATGGAAGTGTTGAACTGGCAGGGTGACACAAGAGTGACTATCCTTTAAATCAAGGGTGGCATGGTGGCTCAGTGGTTAGCACTGCTGCCTGACAGTGCCAGGGAACCGGGTTCGATTCTACCCTCAGATGACTGTCTGTGTGGAGTTTGTACATTCTCCCCGTGTCTGCGTGGGTTTCCTCTGGGTGCTCTGTCCCACGGTCCAAAGATGTGCAGGGTAGGTGGTTACATACAGGGTTACAGGGATAGGGTAAGGGGGTGAGTCTGAGTGGGATGCCCTGCGGAGGGTCGGTGTGGACTTGTTTTCCGAATGGCCTGTTTCCATACTGTAGAGGTTCTATGGATTTGACTGATTATGGCATCAAAGAGCCAGAGCAAAAATGGAGTCAATAGGATTCGAGAAGAAATATCTCTGCTGACTCCCATCATCAACATCCTAGAACTTACCATTGTTCAGAAACTCAGTGGACGTGCTGCATAAACACAGTGGCTACAAGAGTAGCTCAGAGGCTGGAAATACTGTGACAAGTAACTCATCTCCTGACTCCCCAAAGCCTGTCTGCCATCTATAAGGCACAAGTCAGGAATGTGATGGAATACTCTGCACTTGCCTGGATAATACATTGCCATTCCTTCAGTGTCACTGAATCAGAATCCTGGAATTCTGTCCCTAAGGACATGGTGGGTCAACATACCAAATATGTACTGCAGTGGTTCAAGAAGACAGCTTACCACCTCCTTCGCAAGGGGCAATAAGGGACGGGCAATTAATGCTGGGCCAGCTGGTGACGTCCTTATCACATGAATGAATGAAAAAACACTAAATGAGAGATTAATATTTGGCTAAACATGTAAGTCATTACTGATTAAAAAGCTAAGGATCTCCCTGGGATTAACCATTTTCTAACAGCTTTTAAACAAACAATGTTTACATTGTCTGAACTTAGTCCTTTTCATCAGTTTTTGACATGTCATAACTTGGACAGGATTGCATCCAGCTGAACTTAACCAGCATGCTTTAGCAGCTACCTTAAATAAGGAGTACAGTTTCACCGATATAAAAACTAAATTCTAACAGCACTATCATTACAATAAACTCAATCCTAAAGTTTGGTCAGGAGGAGAAAACAATACTTTTAAAAATGCAACCATTAAAAGTACATTTAAAACAGATCACTCCTTTCCATTTGCAATCACTTTTCGAATAGTCTGCAGAATGAAGGGATGACATTTGAGGGCTCTCACAGTTTAGTGATACAGTGAGGGGTGGGGTTGGGGGGCGGACCAGCTGATTTTGTCGCCCATTGACCTTCTGTGTTATCAGAGATGGGTGCAATGACCAGGGGAATGTGGGAATGTTAAGAGGCAGGTGTGGGGGGAGTTTGTAAAGTGACTGACTCGGTTGACAGGAATACTCATGTTGATCTTTCTAAAGGAGGAAGACATCCTGGATCTCCTGGAGCAGTGTGAAGTGGATGATGAGAAGCTCCTGGGGAAGTCACCCCGTCAGCGGGGACCAAAGGTATGGACTCAGCTCCAGTGCAGCAACAGCAAGTGTTCATTCTCGCAAGGCACCTCACACCTTGCTTAGGACAACACAGTCGATCAGTGGTCAGCATTGCTGCCTCACAGCGCCAGGGACCCAGGTTCGATTCTAGCCTCGGGTGACTGTGGGGAATCTGCACATTCTCCTCATGACTGCGTGGGTTTCCTCCCACAGTCCAAAGATGCGCAGATTTGGTGGATTGGCCATGCTAAATTGCCCATAATGTCCAGGGATGTGCAAGCTGGGGGGATTACCTACGGGAAATGCAGTGTTACTGGGATAAAGTGGGATGGAATGCTCTGCAGAAGGTTGATACAGACTTGATGGGCCATATGGCCTCATTCTGCACTGATTCTGTGATTCAAGACAGCCAATGGCTGTAGCACTAGGGGTAGAATTTTTAAGATCCCCTGATTTAGCACCTGGACATGGGGCCATAATTACCATGGGAATCTTTTGGACAGCTCCTCCCAACATTGGATAGGGCATGCCAAGCCACTGTTGGATCATTGAAGGCCTTCATTGCTGAATCTGTGGGTATCTGGGACCCTCTTCCTACACTCCCTCACAATTCTTCAGGCAGTGGGCAGTGCCTAGTTTGAAACCCGCCAGGCCCACCCTAGGGCTACTGGCAGGATATTCCTTCCTTCACAGGCACTGTGAGTTCATGAAAAACCCCCTTCCCAGTTTCTAATTTCCTCCCTTCCCGACCGCCTGAGTGGGATGTGGGATTCCCTAGCTAGGCCAGCATTTATTGCCCATCCCTAATTGCCCACAGAGCAGTTAAGAGTCAACCACATTGCTGTGGGTCTTGAGTCACACATAGTCCAGGCCGGGTAAGGACATTAGTGAACCAGACATAGTAGGAACTGTTGATGCTGGGGTCAGAGATAACACAGTGTGGAGCTGGAGGAACACAGCAGGTCAAGCAGCATTCAGAGGAATAGGAAAGTTGACGTTTCTGTAGTAGGGTCCTGACCCAAAACATCAACTTTCCTGCTCCTCTGATGCTGCCTGACCTGCTGTGTTCTTCCAGCTCCACACTGTGATATCTCTGACCCCAGCATCGGCAGTTCTTACTATCTCTGAGTAAATTATAACCCCATTGTGAAGCCCCCGTTTCTGAAGAAGGGTCCCAAACCAAAACGTCAACTTCCCTGATATAACAAGGTGTAGAGCTGGATGAACACAGCAGGCCAAGCAGCATCAGAGGAGCAGGAAAGCTGACATTTCGGGCCTAGACCCTTCTTCAGAAATTCCCTCTGCTTGGTGTACAAATGTGAGCCGTGGCAGAGAACAGAAAAACAGGTGTTTTACTCTGTGCGTGTCGAGGAGCGTCTGTGGTAAAAAGTGGCAATTCCTTTTGTGTCCTGCAGCAGTTATTCTCAATGCCCGAGACAACGGAACCAAATTCACGAAAATATGACGAGAGCAGCAGTAGCGGTAACAGCAGCTGCAGCTCAGACACCGACGAAGAGGAGCTAAGAGATAAAAAGTTTATGTATGTTCGAAAAGGAAGAAAGTATGAATCTCCAGAACGATCGAGTAAGTTTCCCAGTGTGCCTGTATTTACTGAGATCTTGTTAAATAAACACTAGCTATGATGTAAGTTATAGAAAGCTCCTATTGATGAAAAGAGAGACACTTTGCCAAACTTTTTTTTTGTCTTGCACTCATCAGGACAAATGCAAGAATGCCAAATTGCACGTGATCACAACAATCTATACAGGTGTAATTTGCCAAGGCCACTCTGATTACTTTGGGTATTGCTTTGAAGAAAGCAGTGAAGAAACTTAGCCCACCCCACCACCCACTTCCCCCAACAAACTTGTGGTAATTCAATAAAGGTTCAAGGCTTCAACATATGCTTTTCATTTGCAGCTAATAGATTTCCTGCGTATCTACGTGTGGCTTCTAACAAGTGCAAATGAACCATTGTACAAGTTCCACTGGTTATCTTAAATTGTTAGTGTGATTATTAGCACACTCAGGATTGATCAGCAGGTACAAATCAATCATGGAATAACATCTATCAGTAGACATTTTGTTTGGGTTTCTCAATCATAGTCTGGTTGAATGTACCTACCTTTGATTATCTCCTTTCCACAACTTTTCCTTTCAATAGAAAACTAGGCAAGGAGGACTCCAGCCCTAATATGAGTTCCAATGCCTGCAGTAGGCAGGGTTGTTGACCAAAAAGTCTTCTTGCTGTAGGACCATGATCTATCCCACCTTCCTCCTTTTCTCACTCTTCGCACTGTTTCAGAACAACCTCGGATATTTCATGATAATGCTGTAGTGTCTCGAGCCCCATGGTCCTCACGAAATAGAGCTCTCTATTCTTGGTCATGTGTCTGTGGAGAGGTCTACCTCGAGGAGTTATCTCAAACTCTTGTCTTTATGGCTTTTTTCTGTCAACATTTTCCCCTAAGTGATGGCAGGGAACGTGAAAATTCCGGTCAAATTTACCCAACCTCCAGAATAAGGGTTCTGGACATCATAGCAAGAGTTTGATGTTCTTCAGAGGTTGTTTCCAGACTCATTATGGTTGAGACCCCAACTTGTGTAGCACATTCCTAATCATTCTGACAGCTTTCCCATCATCATTTGGGCAGAGGTCCAACGGATGGACCTGGATAGACCAGCACCCATCTTTTGTGGAAGTCCCTTTCTCCGGTTTCTAAAGCAAGGTGGGGACTGTGCTGCCCACTTCCAGTTGGCCCAGGGCCTCTTTTGCTAGAACTTTCCAAATCCCTGTACCAAAATAGAAAGGCCTGGAGGCCAACATGTTAAATCAGTGCATCATTTGGAACTGGAGAAAGGCATTGCTGGGTCACAAAGTTAGGGAAATTTTAAATTTTCAGAAGTTTTATTATGCATAAAATTATTGGTTCCATTCCCACTCGTACAATATTACTCAATCGTGTGGCATTAAATATATAAGCCTTTGGATCTGGACTTTTAGCACCAGTTCTTAGGGACAAACTGATCAATTAGGTCCCAGTTATGGTGAGGAGGAAATCCCCAACAAATTCCAACCCAAACATGTCTTTCTTTCTCGGTATCTGATAAACCAAATCCCTATCTCTGGCTTCGCACACTGCTGCTCCTCACCCTGGTCTTCTATCCTGACCCCCAGGTTCTGATCTTGATGTCTAGTTTCACAGCTCATTCTCAGTCTCTGATCCCAATCACAATCTTTGAAGATCTCTGGTCTCCTCTCCCAGCTCCCATTGACCTGAAGGCACTTGACCCCCGAGCCCTGGTCACCTCAAACCCCGGCACTTGACCCCTTGTTGCTTCAATCCTTGGCTTCCTTGACCCCTTGCCTTCTTAACCCCTGGTTCCCTTAATTCATGGCATTCTAGTTCATTAGCCTCCTGCCCTGACATCTGACCCATCAATCCTTAGATTCTTCTTTGTAAGCCTTAGCCCCCAACCCCCTTGACCCACCTAGTCTCCCTGATCCTCAGCCTCACTTCCTTGAGGGTAATTGTGAGATTAAGTAGCAGCTCGATCTTACATTGCTCACCATCAACAGGCTGCTGCCTATATCTCGGGAGCTGTGAGTCTCATCGTTGAGGCTCGAGGAGTAAAATAACAGCCCTGTTTGTGTTTCTACACCATAGTTAGGGATTACACCTCCTGTGGCTTCCTTTGCCTCTGTTAAAACAAAAATCTTATATTTATCTTGCATGACATTTACAGGACATCCGAAAGAATTTTAACACGAATGAAGACCTTTAGTGGTGCCATCACTGTTTTAATATAAGAATCATAGGAGCCAATTTGTGCACAGCTAGCTCTCAATGTGGTAATGATCGGTAATGATCATGGCTAACAAAAGTAGAAATTGCTGGAGAACTAAAAAAGTCACTAGACTTAAGACGTTAACTCTGTTTTCTCTCCGCAGATGCTGTCACACCTGCTGAGTTTCTTCAGCAGGATGGGCCTCAGTTTATTGTTTTGTTCATCCAAAATCAGCATTCCCACCTGCCCCCAACCCCTCACCCTGCTCCACCAATAGTGCATGGTGCCTCTGTATGGCAATCTGTCAGCCTGCACTGAACCTCAAACCCACAAAACAACGTTTTGATCACATACTAATGTGCTAGATATTTGGAGTACAGAGTCAAATTTTAAAGCTTGCCAGCATGCCAAAGTTGGCAGAGTGATAAATAGTGAGAACAATATCAATTGTTTGCAACAGGACTTAAATAGATTAACAGAATAGGCAGACATGTGTCGGATGGAATTTAATATAGAGGTGTGAGTTGATACCTTTTGCAGAAGGGAGAAGGAGAGGCAACATAGACAGGGGCAGGCTCGAGGGGCTGAATGGCCTATTTCTGTTCCTATTGTTCCTAATGGTACATTTTTAAGAGTGAGTAGGGATCCAGGTGTCTCATGCATATCAATCTTTGAAAGTGACACAATGTATTGAGAGATTGGTCAGCAAACCATATGGGATGTTGGGTTTCATAAATACAGGAACTGGGTACAAAAACAGGAAAATTTTGCTGCATCTACACAAATCTGATTCATATGGGGACACAACTGAAAAATGTGTCCAGTTTTGGTCGCCACACTTCAGTGAGAACGTGAGTGTCCTTGAGAGGGTGCAGAGGAGATTTACAGAATGTTCCTTCCTGTCTACCTTTCTATGCCCCTCATAATTTTCTCCATCAGCATCATGTCTCCTTAATCTCCTCTGCTGTAAGGAAAATAACCCCAGTCTGTCTAATCTCTCTTTATAACTTAAACAGTCCAGCTGAGGCAACATTCTGGTAAATCTCCTCTGCACCATCTCCAGTGCAATCACATCCCTCCTATAACATAGATTCCAGAACTCCACGCAATGCTGTAGTTGTGGCCTCACAGATATTTATACAGTTCCAACATCACATCCCTGCTCTTTAACTCTGGTGAGAATTTGAAGCTCACTGCCTGTAAGGGTGTTAGATGTGGAACCTGCCATAATATTGGTGAAGTATTTAGATGTGGACTTGTGTTGCTAAGGGATACAGCTCTCTGCGGAATGTCACCTTGCTGCGGTGGAGAGATGTGTGTTTTTTGATGATGCTTTAAGCTTATGCTATTGGACGTTCCTCCTCTCTTGCAATGGCAACCATGTAAGGGGACAGTGCCAGACAAAGTGCAATCCAAAAACGCCCCCTAGAGGCATAACAGCTGCGAAGGTGGAAGAAGGGTGCAGCCGGTATGGTGATCTTGGCCATCCTGGGTAATCACGTCACCAAAATGTGTCCACAAACCCGCTATGTGCAGGCAATGTTGGTACCTCAAGGTGCTCGTGTCCAAGTTTCTCCCAAGTCGTGTGGCAGGGGAGGTTTTGTGACTGGGACAAGGCTGTGAACCTGGGCATCCCCCGGTCAGGGCTCTGGATATAGGCAGCAGATGTGTGAAGAACAATGGACTCATCACTGGGACAGAGAGGTCTATGGGCAGCAACATCTGTCACTGAACAGCTATCATCAGGATACCCTGCAGTCACCCGCAATGGCCTAATATCAGCTGTGGAGACCCGTCCCCTCGTAGGATCACCACCCTCAGGATCAAACTCTGCAGTTTGCAACTTGGAATGTTGGAACACTCATGGATCATCTTCAGAGCCACCATCCGGAAAGGAGAACTGGGGAGGGTGAGATGAAGGAAAAAAACTCAGGGGCATATGCCTTCTGCTGGAAAGACAAGAGCGACAGTCACTCTTATATCCACAACGTTGATTTTGTCATCTAATATAGGACCTAGGATGTGCTGCTAGACTCCTCCCCACCCCCCAACTGTATGAGCGAAAAACTTGTGATACTTCACCTCTGGCTAAGCTGTAACCCATATATGCCAGTCATCAACTTTTATGCCCTGACCCTTGACTCTTTGTGAAGGGAAGGTCCTATTCTGCAGGACTTTGATACCAGGATTGGCCGTAACTCTGATGTGTGTGGAGGGACCACTGGGGAGAAGCAGTTTGCGAGAAGACACCTGGGGTCTTCCTGCTGACAAAGTGTGTTCAGCATGGCTTTATTTTAATAAACACTGTCCTCCACGTGAAAGACAAGTACAAAACCAACAGAGACATCCTACAACACAGCTCGGACACTTCCTGGATTACCTCATTGTTCAAAGATCTAAGGGATGTCTGTATCACTGAGTTTATGTGGGAGGGTCTGATGTCTGCTGGACAGAGCATTGTTTGATCAACGATCAAATTCCATCTAGGACAATGTCATTGGAAGAACTCAAATGTTTAATGCCTCCATCCTAAAGCAGCTCCTGACCAAAGAGAAAAGCAGTATTGCACAGAAGGAAGCCTTTTGGCCCCTTGTAGCTGCACTGACTCTTCAAGCAAGCGTTGTGACCCCATTGACAATCTCCTGCTTTCCCCTTAATACACACCCCTCTATACCCTGCACCCTATTTCTATCCAAATAATCATCTGACACTACATTGGACTGCATCTGCTGCCTGCTTGCCTATTCCACCAGCCTTGTCACATCATACAGAAGTTCTATAATGTTCTTCCTCATGGCTCACAATGCCTTGATAAGGAAAGTGGGTGAAAGATTATTAGCGGAACTGGACACGGTGTGGGGGGGGTGGAGAGAGAGAGAGAGATGCAGGAAGGTGGGGTAACCATGTCTGATTGTATCAAGGAATTCCAAAGTCATCTTGTGGGCAATCTTCACATACCCAACTCAATTCCAGAACAGTGGAATCAAATAAAGTTGGCTGTACTAGATGCCTGTTGTAGGCCATTGAGTTTGAGCATCATTGCTACCAGGGACTGGGTCGACAAATTGCTGCAGAAGGAACAAAAGTGGGCAGCCTTTGCTACATGATGGAACGATCCAAGTTAAGAAGGCAGCATTATAACAGCTCAAGGCTGACTCCTAAAGACAAATCCAGAATAACTGCAATGTAGAAGAGGCCTGAGAAATCTAACAGAACATTGACTGTCATGACATACAGCATTTTTAGACCCACCGGTGCCATTATTAGACCAAGGTCAATGGAAAAATACCCTTTGTTCCCAGGACAGTGTCTCTCTTACAAAGAACATTTCCGACAGCTAGGATTGGACAATAAATACTGATGATGCCATAAGTGAATAAAAACAAACTCCTCAACTATGAATCTACAACGGCAGCAGCTGCTCCCCAGACCCCTGTGATGGACCATCGTGACTGGGAGGTTTGCAACAAGCAATTAAATAGATGAAAAACAACAAACAGACATGTCCTGATTCTGTTTCAGAGCTGATGGGCTAATGCTCACAATGTGACTCCACACATGCTTGGCCTCCTTCTGTGACTCTCTCTGGAATTTAACTCAATGGTGAAGTTGATTGGGCCAAGGTCACCACCCTGAGGACCTCTTCATCTTAACACCGTTACACCCCCCCCCCCCCCCCCCCACACACTGCATCCCCATATGCTGTAAAGTGCATAGCTTTGATTAAAAAAAAAGACAAGATCCAAACTGAAATAACTGCACAGAGACTGGTATCCTGTCACCAAGTCACCCTTTATTTACTTGTGCTGGTACACAGGCTGTGGCCATCCAGCTCGGAGTCAGTCCCTTGAACTCAAATTGTCTCTCTCCCTTAGAGGAAGCATATGCTGTTCCTGCCGCTGTTTCACTCTGCCCCCCCCAGGTCCGGGAATATCAGGTTTAACCTGGTGCAGAGTCTTCTTCCCATCAGCAACTCTGCTGGAGCTATCCCTATTGAGTGTGCAGGGTGGTCCTATAATCAAACAGGAACTGGGATAGTTTGGTATCAAGCGACGCTGTAGGCTGCTTCTTTAAGCTTCAATGTATGGACTGCTCTTTCCGCGAGACCATTGGATGATGGATGGTATGGAACTGTCCTAATGTGCCGAATGCCATTTGACTTCAGGAAATATTGGAATTCCCTGCTGATAAATGATGTCCCATTGTCTGTGACCAATACTTCCGGGAGTCTGCGTATCACGAACAATGCTCGCAGCTTCTTAATTGTCATCCCTGAGTTTGCCGAACGAACTTTATGCACGTCCAACCACTTTGAATGGGTGTCTGCAATGACCAGGAACATGGAGCCAATGAAAGGACTGGCATAGCCAACATGCAACGGAGCCCAGCGTTTTGCCAGCGATTCCCACGAATGTGGTGCCAATCACTGCACAGACTAACGAGCATTTCTTTGTATCTGTCTCCCCTCAAACCAAACATCAAAACCTGAGGCAGCCTAACACCCTGTACTGCACAATTTCCAAATACCACTCACTAATCGAGACCTTAAGGTTTTATCGGTACTTCTAACTAATATGGTAATGTTTGTTTTGTGGTGAAACCTGAAATTGTAGTAGTTTCATTCTAAAAACTCTGTCTTGTCAGCGTGTGCTCTCAATCTACCTGTGCCTACAAGTAGCAAGCCTGTTTCCATTTGAGTTGATTTACTGCTGATATCTGTTTTCTCATCCAACCTTTAGGCTCTTTTCCGCGAGTGATTGATTGGCCAACAATAATGCAATTACAGCAAATCTACTAACACAGAGGTACCCAAACCTTTGTCTTTAAGGGTCACACAGGTGCGTAGACGGAGCCCCTGAGGACAGAATAGGAAGGCTCAATCCTTCTCGTTCATCCATGATCTCAGTGGTCCAATCATTGAGGCAACGTGCTTAACTAAAGTCGCTATTCAAACCTCCAGGGTGACAAAATTCAAACAGTCCAGACCATTAATTCTCAAGCACTTTCTCAAAGTTTGTTTAGACTTTAAGGACCTGATTACAAGGGTCTTGAAGGCCACACTTGGAGGGTAGACAGTGATGGGGGCTGAGTGTGGTCTAGTTGCAATGCCACTCGATAAGATGTGGAGGTGCCAGGTTTTGGACTGGGGGTGGACAAGGTCAGAAATCACACGACACCAGGTTATAGTCCAACAGGTTTATTTGAAATCACAAGCTTTCTAAGTGCTGCCCCTTCGTCAAGTGATTCAGCTGATGGAGAAGCAGCGCTTAGAAAGCTTGTGATTTAAATTAAACCTGTTAGACTGTAACCTGGTGTTGTGTGATTTCTGACACTGGACAAGGAGTTCAGATGCTCAAGCTAATGCCTGTGGACTCATGGGTTCCAGTTCCACTGTGGCAGTTCATGGCATTTAAATTCAATTAATAAATCCCGAATATGAGGCTTGTCTCCATGCTGTGACCATATCATCAATTGTTGTAAAACACTATCTGGCTCACTTTAGGGCAGGAAATCTGCCATCCTTACCTGCTGTGGTCTACGTGTGACTCCAGACCCACAGCAATGTGGTTGTCTCTTAACAGCTGTCAAGGGCAGTTAGGGATGTGTGACCTAGCCTGTGATACCCACATCCCATGAAAGAATTAGTAAAAGCTGGTTGTGAGGCTGCAGGCCTCAGACCCCTGCTCCTCCCAATCTAATAACCAAGGGCCCCAGGGCAGTGGTTAAACCTATTTACAACCCACTCTGCACCTCTGGTGTGCTGCATTGGAGGGAAAGTGTTTTGGAGCACCTGGACTTCATGAGGGTGCTGCCGAACTGATTGTTCTGATGGGGCTCTCTTGTGGTGCAGTGGCAGTGTCCCTAGCCCTGGGCTGGGAGGCTCAGCTTCAGCTCTCACCTGCTGCAAAGGTGTATAATAACATCTCTGAACAGATTCATCAGGAAAAATAAGTTAAATTAAATAGAAAACAGTTCTGAATCTCATGCAGTTGAGGGCTGATTTGTGAATCCAGCTGTCATTTGTGTACATGGATCCAACTCAAAGAAACATAGACCAAAGCTGAGGCAGACAATGGGAAGAGAAGTATTTACAGGAAATCCTAAGTTACAGACTCAATAAAAACACCCAACTATTTAAAGGGTAGTCCACAAGTTTACTTCAGATTGATAAAGTCATTGCACATATTAAGCGTCAAATTATTGGCAATTTAGCATCGTAAATATGTTTGGGAAAGAAGTGGAACATTGCATGCTTGTAGACTCAAATTGTGCTCTTTTGTCCTTCTACAGGCAGGTTCATCATGTCTGGGTCCACCAAAGTGGATAGTGAGAGATTTGAAGCCTAATAACAGTAGTAGTAAGGAGGGAAAACAGTATCCCACTGTAATGTGGGAAACGAGAAGGCTGAGTGAAGAAACTGAACCAATAGCAATGGAATTTAGAGACAGAGTTGCAAGATATTCCCAGACATAGAGAACAAACTTGCATCTAAATCTGTCAGCAAACAGCAGAAGTCTGATTTCAGGATTCTTTATATTTTATGCCGAAAATATAAATATATATATATAGATAGAAAATAAATACAAAATAAACTATGCATGTTTTCCGAAGCCTTCAATAATACTTGGAATTTTATGCAGCACCATCTTCACCAATCTATTTCAGCTCTCTGCACACCGAGCTGCTTTTGGCTTCCTGTGTCTTGGCTTTATTTCAGGTGATGGATGTCAGTATTAGGGATTAGAGTGCTTTCTATTTCAGGCAGCCCTGCAGTGTCAGTGCTGTACGGTTCCCCGTTGGGATGCACAGGGATGTGCCCTCGGTGTTGTTGTAAAGTTTGTTCATCAGCGAGCAGTGTATCCCCACTGCACCAAACAATTTGAGTTCCAATGCCACTTCATGATGTGCGAAGGAGGGATTTGGGTGAGTGGCAAAATTCAGGGCTGTCTATCTCCTTCAACTGGCCTGCATTGCTCAGAGAGAGCTGAAAGGACCATCACAAAGCCGGTATGCCAGCGATTCCACTCCATCAGTAGCACGCTGATTGAAGGGTGACTGAGATAGGGACAGCAACTGTCTCCCACCAAGAGGGCCTTCAACAAACAGCTATGGGCAGTGCATTGGTTTCCATTGATCTAGCTGAGGGACCTGTTGTTGGAAGGAACCAGTAGAGCTCTCTGTTAGTCACGAAACAATGGAATGTAGCATCACAGAGTGCAGAAAAGAGCCTTTTCAGTCCATTGTACCTGCACTGACTCCTTTAACGGGCTAACCGGTTAGGAACTTGGAAACAGGAGTAGGCCATTCAGCCCCTCAAGCCTGTTCCACCATTTAGTGAGATTATGACTACCTCCAAATACCTGCCTTTGACCCATATTCCTTAATACTTATATGTAACAATAAATTATCTATTAAAAAAAGACCAAAAGACCTGCAGATGCTGTAAATCAGGAACAAAAACAGAAGTTGCTGGAAAGCTCAGCAGGTCTGGCAGCACCTGTGAAGAGAAAATCAGAGTTAACGTTTTGGGTCCAGTGACCCTTCCTCAGAACACTGTGTGTGTGAATAAATTATCTATCTCAGATTTAACAAGTGTTCCATTGTCCACTGCCATTTATGGAAGACAGTTCTTGCTTGCTAACAATCTGACCCCAACTGTCAGACTATGCCCCGCTTCCCTACCCTTCCCCACAGCTCTGCAAAGTTTCCTTTTTTAAACACTATTTTGAAGGTCGCCGACTGAATCCATTGTTAATGAATGCATGTGTACATGTTTGAGGGAGCACCAAAACAGAGATAGTTCGCACAATTCAAGTGGAGATGTTGCTATGGAACAGGATTCCACCAGTAAAGACGAAACTGTACCATACGAATGAAAAGCAAATCCAGTAAAACCCTCCTTATCTAAAGAGACATAACAATATTTGTTATAGTCTTTGGTTGACTTTGGATGTAGATCAGCTGTTGTCTAAGTTGGACCAGTCTCTGGAGAAAGGGGCTTCAGTACTAGTTTTGCCACATTCCTCTGGCAGTAGCCTATCACCTCTGGTTCCTGCTGCTGTACTCTACTCTTGCCCATGGCTCCTGGTGCCATGGTCTTTATGCAATGGGGCGAAACGTGTTGCTCCTTCCACTGTGGCAAGCCAATGGCTGTGGACCATACAGAAACGTGATGATGATGGGTCAGAGTGAGGAGGATAGTGTCAAGCTCCCTGCAACAGAAATGATGCCATACGGAAATTCACCAAAGATCCTCAGATTGCACCTTCCAAACCCA